GAAGAGTGGTCTCAATGAAATTTAGAGCTCTTTGAGCCAGTGCTACTCCCTCCAGTCCTCAACATTAAACCGTGCCAAGTCCATATGGGAAATTGATATGCAGTATGTGTGGCTTATTCCATTAGACTCATTAAAGTGTCACTTTGTCATCAGCACGCTCTCGCACTTACAGCTTGCCTTACAACTGCAGCAAAGGACTCATTGTATCGTGTGTATAAAGTACAGCAGAGAACATTTTTTATGTGGCAGGCGTAATTTGTCTTCCAGACAGCAGTCGAAATACATCAACATAGGAAGTATTGACTAGAAGGTATAGAAAGCTATTCAATTTGTGGTCGGACATACAGGACAGGGCAATCGATGGAAAGGGGCAAATATACAGTAATTTAAGTGTACTAATGTAGCATACTAATGTACACACAGAAATTAATGCTACCTTGCTGCAGCTTATTTCCCACATCCATTTCCCATATGTGCCACATCCATACACTGGCTTCTCAACTGCAGCACTAAAACCTAAACTAGTGTTTTTTGTTCCCTTTGTTAATCCTGTGCTGCATTTCCCTGAATCCTGCAGAGGTTTTTCTCCCTCTAACAGACTGACCTCCTGTGCAGACAGTAAATTGCAGGAAAGGGGTTTTTACGCTTGGCTACAGTTTGTAGTGGCAGAAACTTTATCAAACGTCTAAGACGAGGATCTGAGTGAACTGTGTTTAGCCTCTGATTAAACGCTGCCTCTCTGAGGGACTCTGACCGCTAAAAAACAAGCATGCTCCACAGAGTGATTTGTGGAAATAAGAGCATTTTTCTGCCAATATTACGCAAATGCAGGAAATTTACACTTCTTACCATTCACAGAAAGGCTTTTGCCTGACTTGGCAGAGAGTAGATCTACAAAGAAGGAAAACCTAAAATCAGAATCCACGTCCAAAATTCCTATGTCAACCAACCATCGACGACATATTTTCAGGACATTCCAGCCAACATCTCAATGGAAAACAACTGTACCATTTACTGGCATCACACATCATAAGGAAACTTCATATCTTGCGAATTCTGTAGTAATCAATGAGGTATTCCTGCTTAGGAAACAACAACCACAAGAAGAGAGTGATTATAAAATATACACAAGTCAGAAGAAAGCACGGCACATTAGTTATTTGATATCTTGATGCTTTTTATATCATTTAAAGCAAATCGCCCGCTGGCTGTATATCAGTTAAACAATTAGCACACAATATTCTCCAAACAGTTTGCCCTATGGCAACACTGAAGTACACTGAGCCTTGGCAAACACATGTGCTTAATAACGAGTGGGAAGTAGGTAATTGCCAGTGCACGACGTGGTTTACACACCGATGTTTTAAATCAGCGACATAAAACAGAGTCAGAGCATATGATTTATGGCTATGTGCTGATTAAATTAATGTCCATGACTTTCTTCCTCTTTCACATACTCAAAATGGAGTCAAAGATTCTTAAAAAAAAAAAAAAAATTAACTCTACCCCCTCCCAAAAAAAGACCATACATCTGTTTCACACATACAGTTCCTGCCCCATTCTCCCGTCTGCCAAAAGCTTTTAGGGATGCACACCACTTGATGCCTGAGTTAGTGTGCTGTGCACTGTGCAGAGAGGGAGTTGGGTTTTAAACACAGCAGTCTGAAAGAGATGTACCACTAAGACCATGGCAGAGCCCAACATTTCCCAGAGTATCTGGATAAAATATAGATAAACTAAATATTGTTGAACACAAAAAGGAGAAATTATAGCAATATTGCAATGATGAAAAGCATCACTAGAGAGAGTGGCAAATTTACACAAATCTTTTACAAGGATGCATGAAGAAAGTTCTACCATAAACGTTGACGTCTCTTTCACCTCCTTGTAAACTGCTCCCTAAATATGAGTCTAAGAAAATGCCAGTAGACATAGAACAGTACAGATAGACATCTCAGTAGCAGAGAGAGCAGCACAGGCTCCTACACACTCAGCCTGTAGGACCGAGGATTTTTTTCCAGGGCTGAAGTGCCTTTAGTGTCAACAGTGTGTCCTGTTGAAAACTCCACTACGGCAGTTCCACCCAACATGATTTATAGCCTTCCTGAGTGTTATTAAAAGGCTAAATGCAACTCTAAACAGATTTCACATAGTTGCTGCCCTGCAGAGGACCTTTTATGTTCAGAGGTGAATGTCCCATGTTCAGAAACATTTACACAGTTTATATAGTTAGAAAACATTGCTGTCAATTTACTTTTATGAACGTGTCACAGATTATTACTTTGGAGCTAAAGGGCAGGGGCTGAGAGATGGAACAACAGGGACTATTTTGAAAAGATGATGCACCTATCTTATATTCAATTAAACGCTGCATTTACTTGGTAATCTGTTCTCCACTGTCAAAAGAAATCTGATTTTCATGCTGCACAACCTGGGTTCAATTTTAGGTTAACTGATTAGGGATAAACCCAGTTGGCACAGCTACATGGGTACTGGAAAAAAAAATACTAGGCCATGTCAACCAATTGTGTGCAAATGCATCTCCTGCTCTAGAGGAGCACAGTTGTGATTTGCAAGTGAAGCAGTGCCTATAAGAAAAACAATCTCATGATCTGTTCTGATGACTAAACAGTTTTTGGCAAGGAGAGGGAAGAATCTGAGGGCTGTCAAAAGTGCATGTGAACTCATTATCTAATATCCTGTCTTGTCCCGATAACTTCAATTAATCAAAAGGCGTGTAAGTGTAGAAAGAATGTTCCAACAAAACGAAAACATTTTTGAGGAGCATATTTGATTTGCACTGCCCGTTGTGAGCCAATTAATGACAGTTAACTTACACTGTAAGTTTAACATACATAAACCATGCATGCCACGCATACATGTTTTAATTGTTATCGTATACATCCTTTGTCAAGTCTGCCATGTATATAAAATTCCACTGCTGTGGCCAGGGGCAGCCCTGATTGTTCCTGGAAATCCTAGCATTTGAACCACAGTGACAGACCAGTGACCTCTGACCTCTGACTGGAAGCTTGCAGACTGACCAGTAAACCAGACAGCAGCAAATACAGACAGCCACGCCTTTTAGTTTCTTTCTTGTCACGTTTGCTCAGTTGCTGCCACATTACAGCCATTTTATTTCCACTGGCCACTGATCACAGGGTGCTGCACTCTTCTCTTCACATTTGATTACAGTAACCACACTGTTGTCCTTCTCTGACTATTCCCATTACAGCGAGCCAGAGGAGAGACAAGACTGCCAGTGATATTATCTACAAACATATCCTGGAGCTTCTTCATTGGCGCTGAATAAGAGGTCAAGTTTGTGGATGCAGTGAAAGTACAAAGCACCTTAATGGGCATCATCTTCTTGTCAATAACCATTAAGGCTACAGTGAAGCTGCACTTATTTGAATGTACAGAAAATGTTAGTATTAAAATCATTATACTGAGCAGCTGCAGATGATCTCTGTTCAATAGCAGTTGCAGCTTTTCTGCAGTTTTCTGGTTTCCAGCAGTGGGAGTGGAAAAGCAAATCAGTTTTGCTTCATGAATAACCGTATTAGCATATGAAATTACATTTTCAGGGTAGATTTTGCCTCTAAACTATGCAGCTAACATGGAAAAAGATGCAGTCATTTCCACTTGTCCATTTCCAGATATGAAGTAGCTGCAGAAGCAGGAGCTTGGCTCTCCTCCAGTCCATATTCGATCAGGAAACAGCATTTGAAGAAGTTATAGCTAACGCGTCCAGTTAAGTAATGTGGATTAACATTCCTCCCTGCCTCAGAGCAAGAAAGAGAGGTAGAAAGATATAGAGAAGACAGGATGGCAGGAGAAAGGCCATAGCAGAATGCTTTACGCTCAAAGCAAATGCTGTACATCTCCACTGTAAATAACCTCCAAAAGCATTTAAGGAGGACAGAGATAATCCAAACAAACCCCAAAAACCTTCCATAGATAATCCATCACTACCCATCTGAGAGGGGAGGATTGTTTTATACTTACTATACACTCAAAAGCCAGAGAGAGGAGAAAAAAAACGTAAAACGTTTTCTACAAGCAGCTCCATATACAAATCAAACTGAATTCAATCATACTTATATTAGTCAACCAAAAGCCAGTTACATAAACCATCACTCCATCCTTTCTTTAAGAAGATACCACACGCTCAGCCATGTTTAAGCATAAGGCAGTGGAAATATAGTTCCTAAGATTGTTGAATGAGCAAATAAACTAAATGAAACTCTTTATTTTTACCCGCAGTGCACAGAGAAATAAACTGATGATCTATTTTAGTGTTTGTTTTCTAAAAGGCAATTAAGACAAATGACAGTATTGTTTCCTAGAGGCCAGACTGGGCTGTTTATTCCAAAAGGTTGCCTACACATCCTCATCTAACCTCCTGACACAGCCACTCTCTTTAACAACTGTTTGCCTTTTAATTAAGACTTGATTCATCTCTTATCTTTAAACTGACCTAAATTATTGATGGGGGGTGGTTGGGGGGCACAGCAGCTAACCAGTTGACTAGTTAAGAGCCCCCCTATTGTCTGCCAATGGAGTCATGTCTTCCCCGTGCAGAGGCTTCAGAATGACAATGGGTCGATAATCTTAAAACCAAAGATCATTTACATGAGAGGGGAGGCTGAATGATGGCAAACAGCTCTGCTTTGTGAGGAACAACAGTTTGGGAACACGATTTCAAGACTAAAAAACTAATTAGAGTGGTCTTAAAAAATATAAAACCACATAAGAACACAATGATGGATGTCTTTAAAGCGAGATAAACTCACTATCAAGTCCCAAGTGCGCACTCCGGGCATGCTATAAATCCCGACAAACATTTTTTTTTCTCAGGGTTGACAGATTACATCGTTGAATTCACGCGTGTTGGGATGAAGCACAGAGTGAGTAAAGCCAGCAGAGAGAGCTGGGGGGGAAAGCAGGGGAAAGATTGGAATCATTACCGAAGGAACGGGAAAAGTATTGAGACTCACCAGACGCGCTCAGGTCCAGGACACTTTGAAGGAGCAGGGCGATCCAGAGAGCGCAGGCTGGACATCTCCAGAGACGCTGGCTCGCCGCTGCCCGAGTTGGATACATTCCTCCGGCTCTGTGTTAAACCTTCGCCGGCTTTTCACATCCACTACACTCAAAATTTTAATTTCGAGCACCTCCAAAAAAAAAAAAATAAATACAGTGCCTTGATAACGTTGTGCGCTGTTTTCTTCTGCTCTTCCCAAAGCGCACCAAAAACCCTCTCGGTGAAAGAAGCAGGAGTCTGTAAGAAAGTTGTCTCCGGCTCTTCTGGTCTCTTTCCTCCTCGATGGAGCCCAGCTCACTTTTCCCCCTCACTGTCTCTCTCTCCAACTGAGCGCAATCCTTCCTACAAACTTCACTGAGAGACTTGTGCCCATAGGAGCCACATGGCTCTGATTAGCCATGTGTCGCCACCCTGCGTTCACTGCAGGAACTGTCGGAGCAGAGGCCAGGAAGACATTTGAATTAGTGGGGGAAAAGCAGCCTTTTTGGGGCCAAACAAGTCCTGAGAACAATTTAAATTTTCAAGTCTAAAGTTCTGAGGAAGGTTGTGTGTTACAGTCGAAGAGCTATTAAATGGATATATTAGTGTATTTAAAGGTCCAGTGTGTAACATTTAGGAGGATCTATTGGCAGAAATTTAATATAATCATACATCAAAGCATCATTTCACAACTCTTATTGTATACCATTTGGAAAAAATACGGTGGTGACCTCAGTGGTGGGAACAGCCATGCTCACCAGAGGTGGCAATACTCATACAATAGTAAGAGTACTCAGTACCGGTGAGTATTGACCTATTTCAGGCACTTTAGTCACCTTAAAATAAGGAACCTTGTGTTCTCGTTACCTTAGAATGTGCCAGTTTTATCTCCAAAGGAGAGTGGGGCATTTTGCATTTTTCACAAGTTTTGTGGCCACTGTAGTTTCTCTGACAGGTTTGGAAGGGAAGCAGTATTGCAATCTGCAACTTTACTGATAGAATCCACTACATTTTTTGGTGAAGAATAAACTTTCCATCTCTGTCTTTGTGGCTAAAAGTAAAAGTTGATGTAGCAATGTGTAGCTAGAGCAACTAGACATGATGACTCCGATACAAAAAAATGGCAAATTTTAGAGAAATGGCATGAGTAAACAAGTAGGCCTACAACCAAATATGAAAAAAATAATTATTTTGAACTTTAAGATAAGTGTTTGTTATGCCCATTGCATTCCCAAACCTAATTATGAGCAAAAATTCAATTAAGTAACCTGAAGAAGGCTTCTCAGTTCCCTGCAGGCTGAGGGGCACTAAGCAGCCACTTTGTTCAGGCTGTCTCTGGTACATTTATCTGGTGATTTACAAGGTCCAGTATTTACGAGGAGGAAAATATTCTCTAATGAAAAAATCACTAAAGTATACTAATAATGAATTCAGGGAATGTGAATAGTGAATCCAGCATGGCCTTATACATTATTATACTTATACTTGATTGCACTACTTATATTTCTGAGAATATTCTAATCAGGGTTAACTAATTATATAGCACCCACTACATTATTTATTTTCAGAAAATAATCTCTGTACCACACAATACATTTAGCCACTATGTTCAGTATCGGTTTGTTTAAAGATATTTAAACAGTGTCATTGGGGTACTGCTACCTGCTTATAGAAAGGTCTGTGTTCAACTGCACATTCTCATTTTGCTAAAATACAGTGCAAAGTGATGTGAATTAATAAATAAGTGTTAATGGAGCTGTATTTAACTCTCTGGATTATCTGATAATGATCCATCTGGAGTTAATTAGATGATCACATGTGGTGGTAGTGACTTTTAGCAAGTAGATTTACCTTTTTATAATAATTACATGAATTACCCACCATATTAAAACCATATCCAAAAGTTTAACTCATTGAACTTTGATTTCCATCCCTGCATTACATGCATAAAGACAGATGCACGAAGGAAAGGAAAGGAGCGTAAAAAGAAGAGAATAAAGTTTCTTGTGCTGTGAACAATCATGCCTGCAGACATGTTTAACTACAGCTACACACACACACACACACACACACACACACACACACACACACACTGCATACACACCCCTTTATACAATTATTAATTCCAGAACCTTACAGCATTATTAACCCAACTCACCTTTTCCTCTATAACTCCACACCTTGTTTCATTTTACTCGACTCCCTTCTGGATTTTGACACATACTTTGTCTCTGCATGTGTGTCTGCACACACAGAGCACTTTGAAAGACTCATACCGGCATTTTTGGGACAGGAAAAGAATGGTAGCAATTTAGCATCTCCGGTTCTCCCATATTGTGACCTACCCCTGCTCATTAGAGGGAAATATCATCCTCTCTGAAGTATGTTTTGATTTAACTGTTACAGAGTACAGAAATAGCACGTATGAATAATGCTTTAGACTGGATTATTTTCCGATTGAAGATCTGTGAGAGGGTGCAGTGGGCTGCTCACGAGTGTCAGGGCTTCACCTCTGATTTCCCTGCTCCTTGTCAGGCCCAGGGGTCCAGGATATGGTCCATGGAGATGGTTATGAACTCCTAAACAAAACCTTCCCTCCCTTCGTCTCCTCTCTCTGCATACATGTCATCCCTGGAGAGATGCTGCTAACCAGAGCTTAGAGATAACACAGCATAAGCTTCCTGCATACCATGAGATAGGATAAGGGTGTGTCCGAGAGTGTGTGCTGTGGGGAGTAAAACCTTAAATTTTCCAGATTTTGGTCAATAGGTGTCTGTGATCGTTCAAGAATTCCTACCGTATACTGTATCTTATCACATCTTTGCAGGGACGGTCCACCGTGAGTTGAATGGTTAAGGAAATTAAGAATATGGTAATTATGAGGGTTGAGGGACACAACGCAGTAGGATGCGATAGCTGCCAAAGGTCTGATCAAAACCAGGGCTGCAGTCAATTCAAACAATTCAACATGTAAACAGAGACTGCAGTTCATTTGCTAATGATGATTAAGCGTTATAGGTCTCACTTAAATAGGTTGGACATAACAATTCTTTAATGCCAGAGGTTGTGATTTTGAAAAGTGGATATTTAAAGAATATAATTCTTCTTGACTTAATTGAACTGGAAGTGAAATTGGCCAAACATCATAATATGTACTGAAGTCTTCAAGGACTAAAAGTGGTTTAAGTTCATATTTCTTCTTTTGGACCACAGAGGAAAAAGAGGCACACCAAAAGTGTGTGAGATTGCATGTGCAGACGTGGCATTATTTCACATAACATTTCAATCAACACAACAAAGGGCTTTTGTGCTCCAGTGATATCACGCAGAGAGCAAATTCAAACAGAATAACTCTAAATAACTGTCAAACCAAATGAAATTGGGCATGACTGATTACAGTTGGGAGAAATGTGTGAAGTGATGTACATCATATGTCAACTGTGTTTCTTACTGAGGCACCCCTTTCAAAATTTGCTGTTTAAGCAGCCAAATGAATTTAACCTAAGCTGTGTTTAGGTGGTTTTCTCTGTAATAAGGAGCGGAAGGGGTCTCGGAGGGGGAAGACCTCACCACTGGGCCGATCAAGTAGCAAGATTATTTCTGACATTGGCCTATTTTCCCTCCTTGATGTCAATCGACTTCATTTTGCTTAAAGTAGGATATGATTATTAAAATTGCAACCATGCATGGTGAAAGTCATCTTACTTTCATGGTGGAGTGGATTAGGGTTCTGAAGGTCTCTTTGAAGAGCAGATCCCTGAGGATTTCTCCAGCGGCCACAGCACATGGACAGGGAGGCCCTTTGTTACAAAGTTGGCAATGATGTCTGAGTCAATAAAAGAGAATGAAAGGATGAGGGTGATGATGGCCTTTTAAAAAAATATCTGCCACATCTCCCCAGTATTTTCTACGTTTCTTCAAAACCTTGTATCTATCTCCTTTCCTTCACATCCTTAAATGAATAAAATAATTTGTACATTTGCATGAAAATGTGCTAGCATTTTGTGCATTCTTCAATCAGTGGAAGGGTTTCCGTCCCAGTTGAGACATATTAAATGGCTAAGGACAGTATTGGCCATACTGCATCTTTTACATCCACCCCACCCACGCCTGTCCAACCTCCATCTCGGTCAAAATCAGAGTTTAACTCTGCTACATATTGCATTTTCATGGGCTTGGTTTTCAAATGCCTGTTGCACTGTTACTCTATTCCCACGAGGTGTTTTTTGGAACAAACTATTACAGTCAGTACTAATATATAACAAACGCAGGATAGAGGGAACTTTTCCACGCCAATACTGTAGTCTCCCCAAATTAAAAGAAAAGGAAATCTTCACTGAGACCAGGCAATTCTTGTGGGTTTCGGATACGGTTTTACAGAAAACACATTGAAAACTGAAAAAAAGTAGGGCTTCACAATACAGTAAATCATATTGCACTTCTTTTGACAGATATTATGATTTCAATACGATCCACAATTTTCATTTTCATTGAAAAAATGATTAAAATCATGATGATGTAACATTTATTGGGGTTTGTACCAAACAAACGAATGTTTTCTTACATCTGGAGAGCTAGATTTGAAGGCCAGTGCATCTCTGCAACACTACAGTACATCATTATAATGCTGTTTCGTCACACATTTTACCGTTATCAAAAATTGCAGCCTTTGATCTTTTGATAATGCACTTGGCCATATTTCAGTTTTGATAATTTTTTTGATTAACTGTGCAGACCCATGCCAAAATATGTAATTTCCTGAGATTCAGTTCAAAAACCTTGCTAAAACCTTTTAAATAAAATAGATACATGTACACACTACTGCTAAAGCAACTTTATATTCTCCCATTGTTCTCTACAAGGCCTCCACATATGTGAAGTTTCAGGCAGCAGAACAATAATTACTTGCAGTTGCAGCACATGGAACACACAATACATCATTGGGTTTGATTGTGTACTACATATTGTTTGTATTTTTAGTGCAGCACATATGGAATGGGGATAAGTAAAGCAATAAGAGAACAGCTTTTTTGTTGTTGAACAAATCAGCTTGATTTCAAGTTTAAGGCTCTGACAAAAATGCGTTGTTGGCTGCCAACAGTATACAACACATTTTTAACATGTTGAGAATTTCTGGTACTGTATAAAATCTAAATATCCAGTTTCTCTTTCATTTCAATTCCTAGGAAAGGTCCAAATAGTTTCCCCATTAAACACACACTTCAGAGCACAATGGGCCATAGAAGTGTGGTGTTTCCTGGCATATTTGTCTTCTTATTGACTGAGAGCCAGAGGAAGGATGGATGAGAGGACATGAAGCAGCCTCCACACTTCTTGCTTCGACTGTGTGGTCAGAAATGTTCCAACTCATC